GGCCTTTGGTGTCGGTGCACAGAGACAGTTGTGCTCCCGTCGCTGTGAAAGGGACGAGCTGGAGGAGCGTTTCCTGTCTGCAGCGTGTTTACAGACTGATTAGGGCGGCGACGTCCACCCGTTTTTCATCGAGCGCCACACACACCCCGCTTTGATCCTGAGGACGGGGGAAACTCCTCTTTCTGTCATGATGGAGTTCAACTACACACACAAAGAAATGTGTCCGAATGACAGAAGAAGACTTTTCTGTCCTTTAATTGTTGATCTGTTACTTAGTCACTGTGGTGTAGACCATGGGGCGTCTTTATCAGCCAGAAAAGCTGAAAAAACTTATTAAATGCATTTAAAAGTCCAAAAATGTATGTCATCCTACTCATTTTCCAAACCTGCTTGGTGGACCGGATTAGTCTTGGCCGGGCCAATTTTGGCCCTCTGGCCTTAAGTTTCACCCCTGCTTTAGAGGAAATACTTCCACCCAGCCTACTGTTTTTGTCTGACCCTGCTGAGCGGTTTCAGTTTATGAAGAGACACGAACAACCATTCGACTGAAGTTTGGGAGTAAAACCCAAAGAAGAGGACGAAATGATTCATTGCACCCAAACTCCGAACGTTTGGTCCACGGGCACACGGACATGACCCTGTGGATGGGATGTGGGGAAGCAAACTCTTTGTGTGCAGCAGATTCAGCACTTTAAAATCGAGCCGTCGCACAATCGAGGATCAGATCATAACTTTACCACGCTTTGCTTTGTGAGCCGTATTTCCCATTGAAGCATTTTGGAGTTCAGTTCTGGAGTCCTGTGGAAACCTGAAAAACTGGAAAAAAATTTGTATTTTTTCTCCTCTCAGATCAAACCAGCTTCTCCACCCTGCTGATCCTTCATCTGCAGCTTGCTCTACTAATTAAAAGAGCACCTGCATACCTGGTGTGTTTGACCCTGCCTCCTCGTACTGCAGCGTGGTATAAGTGTGTACGCGTGCGTACTGATCTCAGTATCCTGGGTCACAATCGAGCCCGAGCCAGCAGCGTTGGGGATCATCTCAGCGTGTGTGTCCTCATTTTTTACTTCACTCCTCCCCCCTCATCCTCCCTCCTCCTCCCTCCTCTCTGGTGTACATGGCTAATTCACCTGCAGTAAAATCAGAGCTGCAGGATTTTTGACCCCTCACACATGCCATACACACGATGAAAATATTACAGTGTGATGTCACAGAGAAGCAGAGTGACTGGAAAAGTCTTTCTCAGTATACATGAGGAAGTTTTCAGATGCTGCATTTAAACTTTGGTCTTCTTAAGAAAGGTGAAGGTCTTTGTGAAGGTGAAGGCCTGAAGGACTTTGGATAGTACAAATCTGAATCGACGTCATGTCTTTAGACATCTCCTGCTGAGAAATTTAGAGAAGTTCATAATTCACTTCCTGCCACTGAGATGATGTATCATCTTAGAGCTGCTCGCCTGTCTCCAGCCTTTTCATCAGAGCACAGACTCAGCTAACTCATCAGAGGTGCTGCACGAGAACATCTGGACCTCCTGCAGGCTGCGTGTTAGGATAAAACTCGGGCTGACAGACTGAGGGACTGCTCAGAGACTCCAGGAGAATCCAGGAGGAACCGTTGGAAGAACCACAAACATTAGCAACACAAAGCCTTTAAACGAGGAAGAACCACTGATCTTCAAATCTCATTGCCTTTGTTGCAGTTCTGCTCTTTGTTCCACACTTTCACCACTAAAACGTGGTTTCCAATAAAAGCTGTGTACTTTACAGAGACGTGGATTCTCTCAGAGGCGGCTCGCCGTAATGTGGTTTCACGTGCTCACGTTTGGCCTCGATGAGCGCTCTGGGCTGCTGTGGCTCTGCACGGTTCTCTTACACAGCTGTCGTTTGGGCTGATTCACAGCAGATGGTGAGTGCTCGTATGCACGGGTGGCGGCTCGAGACAGACGGAGGGAGAGCCAAGGAGGCTGAGAGACGAAACGCATTCAGATACACAGCTGCTTTATTGCAACAAAGGGCGCCGTTACCGCACGTAGTGTCGGTGAGAGGTCAGATGACCGTACGGGTTTAAAGCGCTCGCCGTGACGCGTTTAAAGCTTTTCAGGTGGACCCTGAAAACAAACTCCAGAGATCACCTCGAGGCACAGAGCTGTTACACTGCAGTGCATACAGTACATACAGGAAGTGTGTGTGTGCGCGTGATGGCTCGGGGATATCTGTGTCTCTCTACATCTGTTTATCCCACGGCAGTGTCGTATCATCGCCGACGGCAAACAGGAGCCTGACAATGACAAAGACTCCTCTCTCCGTTTCACTGCTGATGCAGTACACACACGTACATTACAGACACACACATACACACACATGATGCCAGCAGGTCGTGCAGGTATTCCAGGCAGGAAGTTTTGTTTGTGTCACTTTGCTCCGGTTTCAGTGGTTTTTTTCCTGCTCAACAAAAACCTGTTAAAACCATCTGAGCTATGGCAAGATTCGGTTAAAGCACGACCGACCTCTCAGCGTCATTCCCCCACTGTGTCCAGTCTTTGCCGAACAGACAGCATGGGGACGTAACCTTATTGGCTAGAATAATCAGCTCAGAGACAGTGGGACCAGACCTCTGACGGTGTCTGCGGCAGCTCGTTTCTTTGGCCACATTCACACTGCAGGTCTTAATGCTCCATTCCGATTTTTTTCATCAAATCCGATTTTTTTGTCTGCTCGTTCACACTACAAACAAAATGCGACAGCCAACGCGCTCTAGTGTGAACGCTCAAAGTGGCCGCATGCGCAAAAGAAGACGTCACACACAACGCGCTCTGTTTACACCCAGAGCAAACAGTATGTTTGACTGATGGCCTCAATATAAAGACTTCGGACTTTACGTTTCCCAACTTTGCTTTAAGTTATAAAGTTATTGTGTTATCTACATTTGTCCTAATAATGATCCTTACTGCTGTTTTAGAGGAGCGGTGCTTCAGAGGAAAGCTGCAGATTTCTGTCAGAATCTGCAGATTATACAGTACAAATAAAATGTTCACGTTTCTCCAACGTTGTCTTCCCAACAGTTGTACTGGATGGAAGCGTTCGTGATGTCTTCTCCGGCGCTGATAATTGGCGTCTGTATTGTGTCAGTGACATAAAAGACGGATTTAATGCGACATGACCATCAAACAGCAGTCCCTTTCTAAAACATCAGATATGTATTGGATTCAGGACCACATACGAAAGTGACCCAGATCGGATTTAAAAATATCGGATTTGTGCCGTTCACACTGTCACACCATGATCGGATAGATGGGTCGCAGAAGGTCAAAAAAGTCGCTTTCGCCTGCAGTGTGAACGTAGCCTTTGTGTCTGTGAAAGCGGTGGATTGTGGTTACAGATGCATTTCCTGTGCTTACACGCCAGGTCAGATGGGCGAGTGACAGCCCGTTACACACACACACACACCCTCTCCTTCTGTATCTGTTGCATGTGCGCGTGCGAGCACGCTCAGCTCGACGTGCACAGCGCGAGCGTTGCTCATCTGCTTCCCCTCTGATGGACTTATTAACCAAAGAAAACATTGGTAGTTGCACGGAGAGGCGACAGTGTGATTTGTCTTGATGCATCTCTTCTCTGTGTGATTTCCACTGTATTCTTCTTAAACTGGAGGGATTTGAATATAAATGGAGATCCTCGAGCCGTCTCCCTGCAGCTAAACTGTAAATAATAACTCTAAACTTTTTTCTAATCTTCTGTAATTGAAGCAAATGGGTTTTGCGGGGAGAGATTTGTCGCAGGGAAACGTACATACATTTTTTTTATTTACGAGGAGGCGAGGGCTGAGCGGTGTAATGAGTGAACATGCATGCTTAATTTAAATGGCGAGTGTGTCTGTTAGGGAATGCATTAGAGTCTGCAGAAGAAGCGTAAGACATATTAATTGACAGACAGGAACCGCTGTCTCCGAGGTTGATACAAGTAATTTATTACTTCAGAAACGAATGCCACCGCCAGAATGTGCTTCATTAATTTCAAATTTAGTTTTAATTTCAAGCTGTTGCCCCTTGAGAAGAATAAGGTGGCAAGTTGTGTTTGAAGAGACATTTTTCGCCTCTCCCTCACTTCATCTTTCTCTTCCCATCCTCAGTCTCTCTCTCCGCCTGTCTCCCGCTGATTTTGTGCAGAACAAAGACCTGAGGGAGGAGGGGCGGGGTGCTGACTCGGTTCCAATGAGAAAACAATGTCAGTGCGAGCACGAGTCCCGTTTATGGGAGTAAATCCTTCATCTGTGAACGATTGCACAAAGTGTGAAGCCCGTGCCGTCGGCTCATGCTGCCTCTCAACAGGTTCAGAAGATGTCCTGAAGATCGAGGCTGTTTCACTCACAGATACGCTGCATTTATTTGTTTGCTGCTTCAGAGAAAGCAGTCAGGCCATGTACACGATGCAAACATTTCATTTATCCTTATTCAAAGCAACATGCGCCCGTCATGATGCATGTGCCCCTCACACACACTAAAGCAGGGGTGTCAAACTCCAGTCCTCGAGGGCCGCTGTCCTGCAACGTTTCCATGCATCCCTGCTGCAACACACCTGAATAAAACTGACTGCATGCTGGTGTGGCAACCCCCAACCTGCTCATTTAAATAAATGTGTTTGGAAAAATGTACTTCTAAAAGTACTTTTACTGCACCATGTTCATTCACTCGTGAGCTGCTGTAACATGAATCAAGTGGCTGAACTGCCACCTCAGCATGCAGTCAAGTTCGTTAGAGTCTTGCTAATGACGTACTAATTTTATTCAGGTGTGCTGCAGCAGTGATACATGGAAAAGATTCAGGACAGCGGCCGCCGAGGACTGGAGTTTGATCCTTTAGCTGTTCAGGGAAATATTAGCAACATGTTTCAAAAATCACATTAGTCAGAAGAGTTTTCATCATGATGAATCAACTCTGAGACAATCCTCCTCCTGTGGTAGGTCTAACCGATCTCTCTCTGTCTTTGTTCTTCATTTCGCAGCATACGTCCCTGAAGATGAGAAGGAAGCAGCTATGTTGGATGAAGACCTGGATGGAGACGACTCGGCCCAGGACGGGGAAGAGCCCGCTGCCAAACTCCTGTGTCCAGACAAGGACTTCCTCTTCAAGGACCGGCCGGGCTTCCGTGACTCCCCCAACGCCACTGACTTCTCTGGTCAGGAGCTGGACAGCGAGTCCCATCTGAGCGAAACCAGTGACAGAATGTCTGACTTTGATAGCTCCTCACTTAAAAATGAGGACGAGATCCTCCATTCTAAAGATCCCTCCAATGCCCTGTCGCCGTCCTCCTCCTCTACCATGATGGCCGCCGCCAACGCTGCCGCCACTGTCGCTGGCGAAGAGGCCATATTAGCAGCAACAGGCTCTGTTGCTGACAGCCTGGAGAAGATGAAGGCCATTTACACCTCTTTTCTGACCAATTCCTATTGGTCCACCCTAAACCTGAACCTGAGCCAGCCCCCAGCGGAGAAGCCCCCCGCAGCCACAGCAGCAGCAGCAGCAGCAGCAGTAGCAGCAGCTGTGGGAGCGGAGGCTACGACTGGCACCAGACAGCCATGGCTAAAACCCTCCAGCAGGTCTCCCAGAACCACCACAACAGGATGGCGCTGGTCCAACATCCTACAGTGGCCGTGAGCACCCCATCAACAGAACCCAACCTCTTCAGTACCGTCCAGCTCTACCGGCAGAGCTCCAAGCTCTATGGCTCCATATTCACTGGTGCCAGCAAATTCCGCTGTAAGGACTGCAGCGCAGCATACGACACGCTGGTGGAGCTCACGGTGCACATGAATGAGACGGGCCACTACCGTGATGATAACCACGAGACGGATGGCGAGGGAGCTAAACGGTGGTCCAAACCTAGGAAACGATCTTTGCTGGAGATGGAAGGGAAGGAGGACGCGCAGAAGGTTCTGAAGTGTATGTACTGTGGACACTCTTTTGAATCCCTTCAGGACCTGAGTGTCCACATGATTAAGACGAAACACTACCAGAAAGTGCCTCTGAAAGAGCCTGTCACACCTGTGACAGCTAAGATTATCTCTTCTGCTCGAAAGAGAGCCCCTCTTGACCTGGACATCCCCAGCTCGCCAGACTCTAATGGAGGCGCCACACCAAAGCCCACCTCCCTCAGTGACTCTGGCGATATACTCCAAAAGGTCACCAACCCTTACATCACGCCCAACAACCGCTATGGACACCAAAATGGTGCCAGCTATGCCTGGCAGTTCGAATCCAGGAAGTCACAGATCCTCAAATGCATGGAGTGCGGCAGCTCTCACGACACGCTGCAGGAGCTCACGGCTCACATGATGGTGACAGGACATTTCATCAAAGTCACCAACTCTGCGATTAAGAAAGGCAAACCGATCATAGAGGCATCCGCCCAGGCACCGAGGTCAAACTCAGCAGCTGAAGAGAAGGTGCAGTCGGTCCCCCTGGCTGCTACCACCTTCTCCCCTCCACCTGCCCCGGTGCCTCCTCCGACCAGCATCTCCCCCACTCCTATGGTTATGGAGATAAAGAAGGAGGCGAAGGAGGAGGAGTGCACTGCAGAGTCCATTCTGAATAATGTTAACAATGTGAGCAAGGAGAAGAAGGCCGTAGGTGAGGAGGAGGTTGAGGAAAAGTTTGATATCACTTCAAAGTATAGCTATCTGACTGAGGAGGATCTGGAGGAAAGTCCAAAGGGGGGTCTTGATATCCTCAAGTCCTTGGAGAACACAGTGACCTCAGCCATCAACAAGGCCCAGAATGGAGCTCCCAGCTGGGGAGGATATCCCAGCATCCACGCTGCCTACCAGCTACCAAACATCATGAAGCTTTCACTGGGTACCTCTGGAAAGAGCTCCCCACTGAAATATATGTTCCCCGGAGGGGAGATCCTCTCCCCCACTGCCAAGAACCAGCCGCTGATCTCGCCTCCTAGCTGCCAGACCTCTCCACTACCTAAAAACAACTTCCATGCTATGGAGGAACTCGTCAAGAAAGTGACAGAGAAGGTGGCCAAGGTGGAGGAGAAAATGAGGGAGCCGGCTGCTGTTGTGAGGGGCTCTCCTCTGAGGCGCACCACCCCTTCACCGTGCAACAGCGAGGCAGAGGAGTCAGCCCGAGGAGAGTCCCCCAAAGAAAGCCAACCAGGAGGCAGTAAGACCCCTGAGAATGCAAGTGCAGAAGAAGAAAATGGACCCAACCACAGAGATGCAAACGGGGATGTCTCTACAAAGGAGACGGCAGAGAATGGTGTAGAGTCTGCTGCCGTGACCTCACCCCCACCCACCTCTGCGTGTGGCAGCACAGCCATCATCACTGATCACCCGCCTCCAGAACAGCCGTTTGTGAACCCTCTGAGTGCGCTGCAGTCCGTCATGAACGTGCACCTGGGGAAGGCCGCCAAGCCGGCCCTGCCCTCCTTGGACCCAATGAGCATGCTGTTCAAGATGAGCAACAGCTTGGCTGAGAAAGCAGCAGTGGCCGCTTCTACACCACCAGCACAGACCAAAAAGACCGGTAGCGAGCACCTCGAGCGATATTTCTACCAGCAGCATCTGAACAACGACCAACCCATAGACCTTACCAAAGGAAAAAATGCAGACAAAAGCAGCAACTCTTTGGGGTCGACATCTCTCTCCTCCCCCACTTCCACCCCATCCTCGGTGTCTCCCTCCTCCACCATCAGCATGACCAAAGCCTCAGCTGCAGTAGCTTCCTTCATGTCCACATCACCTCTGAGAGAAAACGCCCTCTCAGATATCTCAGACATGTTGAGGAACCTGACAGAAAGCCAGGCTGTGTCCAAGTCCTCCACGCCCACCAGCCAGTCCGAGCGCTCTGATATCGACGGCGTCACGCAGGAAGAGACCGAAGATGTTTCGCCTGCCCAGAAGCGTAAAGGCCGCCAGTCCAACTGGAACCCTCAGCACCTCCTCATCCTACAGGCCCAGTTTGCTTCCAGTCTCAGACAAACAAATGACGGCAAGTACATGATGTCGGACCTGAGCCCACAGGAAAGAATGCATATCTCCCGCTTTACGGGTCTCTCCATGACAACCATATCCCATTGGCTGGCAAATGTCAAGTACCAGCTGAGGAGAACCGGTGGCACAAAGTTCTTGAAGAACCTGGATTCTGGTCACCCTGTGTTTTTCTGCAGTGACTGCGCCTCTCAGATTCGCTCGCCGTCCACCTACGTCAGCCACCTGGAATCCCACCTGGGCTTTCGCCTGCGAGACCTGGCGAAGCTTTCTGGGGAGCAGCTGCTCAACCAGATCTCCCAGCAACACCACCACCAACGCCATACCAAAGGACTGTCTGAGAAACTGTTCTCCAACCTCCACCCGTCCAGCCACCCTTTGCCGTCCTCACTCCCCACATCCATCCCGTCCTCCTTACCCATCTCCCTGTCCTCATCCTTAAACACATCTCTGCCCTCCTCCGAATCGCCGTTGCCCTCTCCCGAGGACGACGACAGCGGCGCCCTTTATCAGTGCAAACTGTGTAATCGGACATTTGCGAGCAAGCACGCGGTCAAGCTTCACCTGAGTAAGACTCATGGGAAGTCGCCAGAGGATCACCTCATGTATGTGTGCGAGCTGGACAAACAGTAGCACCGGCTTGCTCGCCGTCTCTGACAGATGAGAAACGATGACGAAGGACGCCTTAAGCGTTAGGACTGCACAAAGATGCCATGCAACTACTGCTCTGAGTTTCGGCACATGGTTTTACATTTTGTGTTGTAGAAGATTTTTAATTTTATTATGTATGATGTAGACTGACTTTTCACGCAGACGTTCATTTTTTTTAAGGGCGGGGATTGGGTGGGGGCTGATGGGGCAGTATATGAAGTAAAAAAAAAGAGCTCTAAAACAAAGTGTTTGTATTTTGAGATTTGTGTAAATGGATTTCTGTTGTTTTTATATTTTGGCATCACTGAGGTGTGATAAGCTGCATGCATAAAAAAACAAAGTTTAGTTGAACCTTCTGGAGCTAAACCTGGTGCCCTTTTCATGGTTTGTTTTCTCTTTTCACTCCTGACTGCTCTGTCTTCTGTTTCATTGTTTTTGGTGCTGAGGCAGCATTTAAAATTTAACCCTCTGAGTACGTCAAAGCATTTCTGCACCGGACATCCAAACACTGTCGACTTGAGATTAGAGATTGGAAATTTATCGAGGCCCTCGTGAAAATTAGACACGCGTCACGTCCCAAGCAGAGAAAATGTCGAGTCAAGCAGATCCTCCGCCCGATGCGGGATCCTCGTCTCACAGGATGTGACACAAATATCGCAGCTTTGTGAATAAAAGGGGAAAAAAAAGATTTACTTTCATTGATCAGGGGCCGCTATTAATTCAGGTCTGTGTAAAATATGTACATAAGACATATGACTTATCCTGTCTAAATTATGCATTGTTTCTATATTTTTAATTTAAAGGACTATGACTATCTGCTGGTGCATAGTATATGAAGACATAAATAAATTGTTTTGCACAATAGTTTTATAAATGTGTTATTTAATCAAAGGATACAGAAACAAAGGGAGAAAGCAAACGAAGGACAACAGGTGAATCTTTTTATTCCTGACTCGTGCTCAAAGGGTTAAAGACTCTTTTTATCCGACACGTGAACGAACAGTGAGAAGATATTTGAGGCTGTACAAAAAGATGTTCCTTTATGAAGATGTTTCACATGTAAACTGTTATTTATAAGCACTCTGGGTTGTTTCATATCGCTGAATGCCTTTTCTTTTTTCCTTTTTTTTCTGTCTAATTAGTCGGCCATGATTCCTCTGCAGCTTTATCTTTTTGGGATATGAAAGGTAACCATGGCTACGCTAACCTCCTGAGTGACAGGTTCGGCTGCATTTTTGGCAGTTAATTTGCTGAAGTAACTGACAGCTGCCAGAGTGGAGAGAGAAGAAGAAAAAATACTTATGTGTAAAATATGGGCATGTAAACAGCACAGACACCGTTATGCATTCTGTGCCGGTCGTCTTTTCACTTCCTTCTGTTGTTTTTTGTTGTTGTTGTTCTTGACAATGAACCCCATTATATGACTTCATATAACCTTGTTTTCTACTGCAGCATTAAAAACGGAAACTGTTTTTTGCAATAATGCGCGTGTGTGTGTGCACTGTGTGTGTCGTGGCTATCAATTATGTGTGTGCTGTGCAGTCCCTAATGAGCACATTAGACCGGGAGTGTGTCAGCGTCTGTCTGTGACGAACTGCAGACTAGTTTACAGTGAGTGGCAGCAGCGGGCGTGTGGGAGACAAACACACACACACACACAGTCTCAGACATGCAAACAGAAACCATGGTTGTGGCGCTTCCCTGTAGCCTCGTCTGTTATCCTGGTGCCTTAAAGGAGCTCGGTCTCATGGATCACAAAGCCGCTGAAGGAAACTGGCGCGGCGATCTCCTGACTTCGGATTGTATCTGCTATCGACAACGCTACCAAGAAAGCAAGGTTAGCCATCGAGCGCAGACTTAGCAACGCTGGCCATGATTAGTCTGTAACGTTAGGCCATAAAGTCATCTCAAAATGGACAACAAATACCCTCCACCCATCAGTGCTGGGGTCATTATCTGTTTTACATTAGTCGTAGTTTTCTTAAAAGTAATGCAGTATGTTACTTAACTACTTGCCAGACAAAGTCATTTGTTACGCTGCTTTCGGGTTTCTCTGTTAAACAAGCTGAAACGCATTGTGTCATAATTACCAATGAACAATATAGACCTACTGGCTACAGTCGCACACACCAACGCAAATCTCTATCCTACTTTGTACACCTGATCTTCCTCTTAGTATGAACGCTTGTAGATCCACAAAACAAAGATGGAAACCAGCGCAAAGAGACTTTAATGTGGTCGTCATGGTGATTCTACTGTATGGCTGTACTGTACAGCTCTTCAGTTTGTTACCTGTTGAAGTTCAGGCTCTGGCTGCTGGGCTGGAGTCTGCATATGCTCGGCTTTAACATCACTCTGGGCTCTTGGCTAGCATAGCGTTAGCTAGCACAGCATTAGCATGCTGTCTATGATGTTGTTAGCGGTATAAATATCAGTTTCTGTTTCCACATAACATCACGCTCTTGTCCTTTTGTGCATTTAAAACAATAGTCATGGTCATGTTACCGCTCCTGAAAAGACCAAACTGAAATCAGCTGATTGTAGCGTGAGCGCAGAAAGAAAAAAATCTGATTTCTTTTGTTTTCCTATCCACCCAGCGTCAGATAACAGAAGAACCTTTGTAATGTGAGTACCAACCTACTGAATTTAGTACAGAAAAACATTACATCATTACCGCGCTAGTAAAAAATGTAGTTAAGGGTCGTGTCGTGGTGCTTTATGAACATATTTGTCGCTGTAGTTTTTCCATGTCTTAGTACATTTATGTCCATTCTAAGCAATCTCCATCGAGGAATCTGCTGACAGTTGCGAGTTCTTATATTAATGTTCTTCTTATTATTATTACTTATATTGATGATTGTTATTCTCTCACTGATAAAATCAAAGAAGTAGCTGGAAATGCACAGGAGGAATCAATGGAGCCGAAAGTGAAGCATCTCCAAACTTAAGGCATACTCAGACATTTCATTCCCGAGTCCTTCACATTCAAATGAGTTGTTACACTACAGTCTACTAAAAAGACATCTAAGTCAAGTTTATCTGAAAAAAGCTCAAAGCTGAAGTTCATACTTCCTGTCATATACAATTTATTAGACCGCCTGTCATAAAAACACTCATATTTTAGAAATCTGTCAAAAACAGGTTTAAGACTGAAAAATATATTCACCACATATAAACTGAATTTGTGTCTTTATACCCAAATTTGAGCTGGCACGCTGGAATTTGTCCTAAAATGTAATAAAATGAATCAAGCATAATATTTGAGCACTAAAACAGATTTTTCTGTTCAGAAATGTAGGTAACTGTAATTAAATGTAATTTGGTTAAATAATATTAATGCACTTGATTATTTTTTCTGCTTCTTGTCACACATTAAATATGAAAATTCACAGATAAAGACAGTAATCACAGTTAAAAATATGATTTTGGCTGAAGAGCTCTCACAGACTCGATTAACCATTACAGAAACATAATTAACCAGTACTGTTAATGTAGAGCAGCTGTGGTATGAACCTGACACTGGGCGGTGGTCTGCTATGTCTCACCTCTTTCAATGGCAAATATTTGTGTAAAACATGACCAGAGATTCTAATAACGAGGCCAGTGTACGTGCCGTGAGCTAAAAGCTAAGGCTGCTTTAAACATTCGATCTTTGACTGTTTTTTCTACTCTTGGATCTGGATGATATCATAGAGAGGGGAAGCCCCACCCACCTGCTTTTCAAAGCACTTTGTGAGCTCCAGCCAATCAAAACAAAATCAAAGGCTCTCCTCCACAGTCCTCATTTATAAAGTGCTTTACATACCCGAACATTACGGCTAACAGCTGGATTTTCCTGTATGAGTGCAGCTAGCCAAACAACGAACAGCTACTTCCTGCTAAAGCGACAGACAGTAAAGCGGACAGTTTATCCTGGTTTAACATAAACTCATTGTTGCAGCACTACAGTGATGTTTAGTTTCAGTGTCCTTATTTTCCTCTGAGTTATCGATCCTGTCACTAGTTAGCGAACACAAACTAATGCAGGTCTATTAGCCGCAACCAACCAACCACATGACGTCACGTACTGGCAGAAGATGGTGCTACGCATGTTTTTTTATCCATGTCAGTCCATCAGAGCAAGGCTCAGTGGGGTAAATTAGCCTTTATAGGTTCAGTGTTTTGTGTCCCCTTTAAGGTCTAATAACAAAAAAGCAGATAATGATGATGATGATGACAGTCTCTTTTAAAACATGCTGGAAAGAAAAAACCTGTCACTAATAGCATGAATAAAATCTTTCAAGTGCTCTGCAGATGACCGTTAACGCAGAGATGCGCGCGTTCTGTCACGCGGCAAACTGAAAATCTGTTTCATCCACTCAGTGTTAGATTAAAAAGCAGAGAGCAGCGGTGCTCCATCCTCTTCCTCCTCATGGGATATGAAAGTATAAAGAGCGACACTCACTCCCACAGAGTTTCCCTTCCACGTCTGCGGCTCTATAATTACCTCGGACGTCCATTTTGTGACACCTCTTGGCGAGGTAAGAAACCTGGCAGGTATATTTGTTTAAGCTTCATGGGAGATGACAACAATGCTGACAAGATGTGCAGCTCCTTTCAAGTGTTTATTTAGGCAGATTTTTTTGTGGATCGAGCGTGATTAAATAGGAACTGTATCACCATCAATCTGATGATGTGCAGCAGGAACACGGGAAAAACACAGTGAAATTACGCTGAGAGGTGAAAGACCTGCAGCCCTACACAGGAGCAGAACCGGTTCAGCACAGGTAGATATCAGCTGAAGACCCAAGCAGCATCTAAATGTGTTCATAGACCCACCGAGCACACACACACAGAGGCAGGTAGGATTTCATCCACAGTGACAGGGTGGCACTGTGTGTGCAAATGTCAGCCTGAAGTCTGGCTGTGTTTAAGGCTCTCATTAGCCTCAAAGAAAATATGCGTGAAATTGAAGTGTGCGAAGCCATTTTCTGTCTTTCTGCCAACACGGGAGCTTATTAAGGTTCGAACCCGGCGTGCGGGAGACGATGGAGACCACCACCGGGCTCTGCGTGCTCGCACACACTCACTAACCACATAACTGTGTGTAAACATCATGTGGACTGAAGCCCATCAGCTCCACACTGAGTGGAAGAATTTAGCTAACAGATCC